GCATTTTATCCTAGAGCCAAGAGGGAGCCATCGGGACTTCTCAAACTGAGGGATGATATAGTCAATGCTTTAAGAATATCAATTTGGCAGCTGTGTGGAGGATAGATCAGGGTAGGGGGGGCAATCTCCAGTTCTCCTGATCTCTATCTGGCCACTGGACCCAGATGGCTCCAGAGGAGAAAGTGAGGCTGGTGACTTTGCACAGCCCTGCCTCACCTAAATCCAATTCACCTGCATGTCACGGCATCACCTCCCTGATGTCACGGTCCTCTTCCAGAACAAAGGAGAAACAACAACAACAAGATTGGAGTGGGGAAAGACTGGAGACGAGAAAGATAACTGGGAGGCCACTGCCATAGTTCAGGTGAGAGGCAAGGAGGGACTGAAATCAGTGTAAGGGATATCTTGGTCCCTGCCCCACCCTCCCAGGTGACCAATGCCTCCTTAAGGGTACCCTATATCTGTTTGTATACAACTAGAAGTGTACATGCTTTCTCTCCCATTCATATATGAGCTCTCTGAAGATAGGGATTGTTTTGCTTTTGTACCCCAGTGTCTAGCATAGTGCCTGGCACACAGCAGGTACTTAATAAATGCTTGCTGATTGACTGTTTAATGGATTGAACCAGGATGGTGACCACATGAATGGAAAGGATCTGCTCTTAGATATGTGAGTGGAGAGGCTATGCATGTGGCAAATGTCATGGGGATAAAATCAGTTAAGATTTGACAACTAATTGGCATTGAGAGGGGAGAAAGAGTGAAGAGTCAAGAATGACTCTGAGGTTACAAACTTAGAGTGACTGGGAGAATAGTGCCCTTATCAGAAATAGGGAGGGATGCCAGGGAGAAGGGTAGATTTGGATGGAAAGAGAATGAGTTTGACTTGGGAAATCATGAGCTTGGGAAGACTACAGAGACCACTTTCACTTTGTCTTTGTCTCCTCCAGAAATTAGCGCGTGCCTGGCACGTAGAATGTGCTTAATTAATGTTTATTGACTGAACTATTGACTGAAGGTGTAAGTAGTTGGTAAGATAGGACAAGAGTTCATGACCAAGATTGTGACTCGATACCTAGAAGCTATCTGCATAAAAATGATAATTCACACACACACACACACACACACACACACCCCCATGGGAGTTGATTAACAAAAGAAAAGAGTCTGGGGGTTAGGATGATCCAGCAAAAGAAACTGAGAAGGATTGGCAAGACAGACAGGAAGAGAATCAGGAGAGAGCACTGTCAGAAAAAAAAAAACAGGTAGGAGGAAATGTCTTGGAACAGAGGGTGGTCAGTAGCATCAAATACCGCAGAGAGGTCAAGAAGGATGAGAAATGAGAAGAGGATGTCACATTTGGCAATTAAGAGGTCCTTGCTATTTTTCTTTTTTCGATGGGGAGGTGGAATGAGAGGGAGAGAAAATAAAAGCTTGTTCATTGAAAAAAAAATGTTTTTAATTCAAAAAGATCATTGTTAACCTTGGAAAGAACAGTTCCAATCAAATGATGAAACCAGACTGAAAGGAGTTGAGGATTTGGAAGTGAGAAGGGCAGGAACAAACATTTTATAGGAGTTTGGTTGTGGAAAAGAGCAGAGATTCTGGATGATAGCATGAGGAGATGGTAGTCATGACTTCTTTGGACAAGTGCAACCCATTTTGGACTGCTTGAAATTCCAAAGGTACAGTGACAGCAATTTTAAGTTATACTATTTCAAAGATACAGTAACAGTAACTGTAAGTTACATTATCCTAAAGATTCAATAACAAGAGTGGCAGAATCATCTGACTGATTGCTATATAGGTATATTTGCCCTGGACAAGTAGTAGACTCTCAATTAATGCTGGTTGGGAGGGTGGATAAACTGGATGGATAGACGGACGGACGGACAGATGGACAGACGGACGGATGGACAGACGGATGGATGGATGGATGGATGGATGGATGGGTGGGTGGATGGATGGATGGAGGACGTGCCAAGTCATCCTAGAGAGGCTGATAAGTTTATAAAGAGCTGAGGAAATGTGTATTTAATCTTCTAAAAGAGACAGCAAGGGGGGCAGCTAGGTGGTATAGTGGATGGTGCACCGAGCCTGGAGTCAGGAGGACCTGAGTTCAAATCTAGCCTCAGACACTTTACATTTACTAGCTGTGTGACCCTGGGCAAGTCACTTAACCCCACTGCTTAGCCAAAAGAGAGAGAGAAAGAGAGAGACAGCCTGGTGTAGTATGGAACAACCTCTGATTTTTAAGTCACAGAACCTGGGTTGGAGTCCTGTTTGTCCTTCTAACTACCTACATGACATCGGACAAGTCAGTCCCTCTCTTTGGGCCTGTTTCTTCATCTGGGTGACTTTGGGCAAGTCTCTTAAGTCCCTTCTCTGTACCTCTGTTTCCTCTGTAAGATGAGGGTATTGAACTTAGTTGATCTCTAAGGACCCTGCCAGGGTAAAAACCTTTTATCAACAGGCATTCTTCCCTAGAATTCAAAGGAAGATCCTTTCCTTACCACCCCATCTTCCCAAGGCAGATGTTCTAGACCAGGGCTCCACGTCCCAGCTCTACCTGGGGACGAGAATGTGGCTGGTGCAGATCTCAGGGAGAGAGAGAGAACTTGAAAATGATGCTCCCTCTAAACCAACAGGAAAAAGACCACACTTAGAGGTCGGGCATCAAGGCCCAAGGTAATTGCTTCCTTTCACAGCAGTTACTGTAACAAAACAAAAAAGATCAGTAATCATTAAACAAACTTTATTCTCTGGCACTTTCACAGTTTTGTTGATGGATCAGTTAAGAAAATCCTGAATAAATTATGAAGTAATGGTAGGGAGGAGGCTTCTTGCAAGAAAGCCGCAATATAACAGTTTAAAAGGGCAAAACACAGGTTTATTAAACTTGGCAGCCCTAATAAATCCTGGCTCCCATTACTGGGCCAGTGAAAAAGAGCCACCTTCTGATATGTCATTGGTAATTCAAATAGCAATAAATGTTCCCACATAGAGCCGTAGCAGCTTATCAACTGCTTCCCCCACCCACCCACCCATGAGCATAAACAGTCTGTCTTGAAGAGTCTCCATGAACCCAGGAGGCAGTTGCTCATGTGGCATGATGAAGAGAGCACTAACAAACCCCTCCCACACACACACCCCTAGCCCCACCGAAAGGCATGTTCCCCACAGGCTTGCCACCACGTCCAAAATTTCCACCATCACCACCACTCATTTGGGTAAAAGTTTTGTATCTCTGTCTAGACTGATCTGGAAAGTACTTTATAGAGTGGGGAAATGCTGGATTTGGAGTGATAGCATCAGATCATAGATTTAGAGCTTGAAAAGATCTCTGAGGTCATCTAATCTAACCTCCCCATTTTATAGATAAGGAAATTGTTGTTCAGTTGCTTCAGTCATATCGGACTCTTTGAGACCTTATTTGGGGTTTTCTTGGCAAAGATTCTGGAGTGGTTTGCCATTTGGCAGAGATACTGGAGTAGTTTGCCATTTCCTTCCCTAGCCTATTTTACAAATGAGGAAACTGAGGTAAATAGGGTTAAGTGACTTGCCCAGGGTCACACAGATAGTAAGTGCCTGAGGCCAGATTGCCTAGCACCAACTTTGAGGCCCATGGAAGTTAGGTGACTTAACCAAAGGGACACAGGTAGTATAAATGAGAAGATCTGGGGAGCAGCTAGGCGGCACAGTGGATAGAGCACCAGCACTGGAGTCAAGAGGACCTGAGTTCAAATCCAGCCTCAGACACTTGACACTTACTAGTTGTGTGACCCTGGGCAAGTCATTTAACCCCATTGCCTAGCAAAAAAAAAAAAAAAAAGAAAGGAAAGAAAAATGAGAAGATCTGGGTCAAAAATGACCATTTGTGTGGTCTTGGGGAAATGAAATTTACCTCCGTGGGTCTCAATTTCCTCAGCTGTAAGATGAGGGAGTTAGACTAGATGACCTCTAAGATTCTCTTCCAGCTCCAAATCCATACTCTTATTATCTCTAGAATGCAAACTTGTTGCCATGGAAACACCTACGAATGCTTTATTATGAAGTAGTCTATTCAGCAAAAAGCCAAGTATGAAGGGAATGGGACCAGGACCTATAAGTTTATAGTAAGGGAGAAAGAAGAAAGGAAACAGCTGAGGCATGGGATGTTGACCAAGGAAGGAAGATCCATCCAAGCTGGGTATCACAACAGGGTCCCTCCCTGGGGAGACAGAGGATTGGTAGCACAAAGGCAGTGGATACTGAAAACAAGAACGGTCTTAGAAAAGGAGACCAGGGACAGCTAGGTGGCACAGTGGATAGAGCTCCGGGAGTTGGGAAGACTTGAGTTCAAATCTGGTCTCAGACACATTACACTTAGCTGTGTGACCCTGGGCAAGTCACTTAACCCCAATTGCCTCACCAAAAAAAAAAAAAAAAGCAAAAGAAAAGGAGAACAAGAAAACCTGGAATGCTCTTCCTCCTACTGCCTTCCCTGGCTTCCTTTAAGTTCCAATTAAAATCTCATCTTTTACTGGAAGCCTTTCCCAACCTCCTTTAATTCTATTGCCTTCTTTCTGTTATTTCCTACTTACCCTGCATATAGCTTGTTTTGTATATATTTGTTTGTGTGTTGTCTACTGCCATTAGATTGTAAGCTCCTTGGGGGCAGGGACTGTCTTTTACCTCTTTTTGTATCCCCAGCACTTCACACAGTGCCTGGCACATAGTAGGTGCTTAAGAAAGGTTGATCGATTGATAATCACTGAAACAGACTCCCCCATCTGAACAAGAGAGCCAGAGACACTGAGTCAGACGATCATAGATTCTCAACATTGGAAGAGACCTCAGCAGTCAACCTGAAAAGGAGTCACTACTGTAACATACCCAACAAGTAGTTATCCAGACTCAGCTTGGTGACCTCCAGGGAAACAGAACCCATTCCTTCTAGAAGTGGCCCATGCCATTTGTGGACAGCTCCAATGAATAAGTATGAACTCCTTCCAGTGTGCCTAAATTGGCTTCTCTGAGTTTTTTTTTTTTTCTTTTTACTGGTTCTGGTGCTCGGAGGGAAAACTGAATTAAGTCTAATCCTCTTCCAGATGACAGTCTTTCTAATCCTTGAAGTCAGCTTTCACGTTCCCCCAAGTCTTCTCTCCAAACTCAATGTTCCATTGCTGTGACCTCCACTCCCTGGCATTGTCCTCAAGCAGGAGCAGACACTAAAAACAACAGCAGCAGCAACAACTTTGCTTCATTAGGAAGAAACAAACAATGGAAAGGAGATTTTGCCAAGATCAGTGAAAGACAATGGGGGAAATGACCGGCTAATGTTTGGAATTAGAAATAGCCATTAAGGTTTTAACTTCTTCAATGTCTCATTGTACAAAATCTCATTCATGTGGACCTCGGACACTTCTCAGCTGCGTGCCCCTAGTCAACGCATTTAATCCGTCAGCCTCAAATGAGGATAGTAATAGCATCTACCTCCCAGGGGGTTTTTTGAGGATAATATGCGACATTTGTAAAGCACTTTGCACATCTCAAAGCACTATATAAATTGTTCACTCCTTTCAGCTGTGTCTGCCTTTTTGTGACCCCATTTGGGATATTTTTGGCAAAGATGCTGGAGTGGTTTGCCATTTCCTTCTCCAGGTCATTTGACAGATGAGGAAACTGAGGCAAACAGGGTTAAGTGACTTGCCTGGGGGGGTCACACAACTAGTAAGTGTCCAAGGCCAGATTTGAACTCATCTTCCTGACTCCAGGCCCAGGTCTCTATGTACTGTTCCACCAAGCTGCCCCACTATACAAATATTGGCTATTATTATTAGGCATTAGTGCTCCCACAAAAAGGTAGAGGACTCTGCTACAGAAAGGCTGCTTATTTTTCAAGACATAGAGCATAATTCAATTCAGTAAATGTTTACAAGGCACAGTGCTAAGTGTTGGGGATAAAAAAAATATTAATGACTAAGACACCATTCTTGCTCATCTAGGAGTTAACAAGCTAGCCAGGAGAGAGACATGGGCACAAATAGCTATGATCTACATTAAAATGTGTTAAGTCCTTTTGTGGTAGCAAAGAACTGGAAACAAATTAGATGCCCCTTGATTGGAGAATGGCTAAACCATTCAGTGGAATCCTGGAACCCTAGATTTAGAACTGAAAGGGATCTTGGAGACTTCTAGCCTGTTTCTTTTTATAAATAAAATGAAGGAGATGGACTGACTGGCCTCTAAAATTCCTCCAGATCTGAACCCAGGATCCTATGATTTTCCCAGAGCAGGCAGCCCACCGACACGATGATCCAGAGACTCAGATACTGCCGCTTCCTCCCTTCATGCCTCGAAATGGGCTTGTGTTGCAATGCCTCCCATGGGGTCTGCCCTGTCCACCTGGCACTGTGGGACATGGACCCAGATGGGACTTCCAAGTACAACTATGCTATTTCCCCAATTGAAGAACGGGAGCAGAGTCAAGCAGGATATAAGCCATTCAGTCTGTATTTGCCCAACAGGTATTTGGAATACAGAATTAGCGGTGCTGCCAAAATCAACAGTAGCAGTAGCAGCGGTGGCCAAGGGCAAACATGTCTGAGAGCTTTGCACAACCCAGGAAACAGAGAGGACTGGGGCCCAGATGTTTTTTCTACTTACTGAGAAGAGAGCTCCCAGTGGCTTTCCACCAGTCTCTCCCATTCTTCTTGACTTCTTTCCAGAGCCACTGGACACTCTCAACCTTCACCAGCACCCACAGCAAGCCCTGATATTCTAAGAAGACAATCCAGAAGTCTATCTTTTTCCCCAGGAGCATTCCTAGAACACAAGAGTCAAGATCCTCCTTAAAAATAACAAGGCTGGAAGCCTAAGATAACCAATTCCCTTGGCTAGGACAGATTGTGACAGTTTTTCTTGTCTATCCCCCTGTATTTAAGCATTAACACTTCTACTATTCTAGAAAAATGAGAACTGATCCTGTTTAAAAAGGCCTTTGGACAGAATAGCTGCCTGTTTTCTGGACCAAACTGTGGTTTGGATATAATGGAGTATTATCACACTACAAGAGACAAGTTCTTTCAATTCAATGAATATTATCATACAATTAGAGACAGTAAGTGTAAAGAATACAGAAAAAGACAGAAAGACTTATATGAAGTGATAGAGAATGAAATAGAACTATATATGTGTGTGTGTGTGTATGTGTACGTATGTATGTGTGTATGTGTATATGTATATATGTATATGCGTGTAAGGAATGGGTTCTGCTTCCCTGGAGGCCACCAAGCTGAGTCTGGATAACCACTTGTTGGGTATGTTACAGTAGTGACTCCTTTTCAGGTTGACTGCTGAGGTCCCTTCCAATGTTGAGATTCTATGATCGTCTGACTCAGTATCTCTGGCTCTCTTGTTCAGATGGGGGAGTCTGTTTCAGTGATTATCAATCCCACACATACAAGCACAGTGATTCCAACTGTGCAAATGAAAAGAAGAACACAAAACAAACCACCACAAAGTCAAAACTGAGCACTGTTCGACTGCACTGACCAAGCTTGGTCCTAAAGACCTTTAAAATGTGCTTCTCTCTTCTTTACAGAAGTGGGAGACTATGGGCATGGAGCAACGCATAAACTATCAGACTCTGTTGGTGGGTTGGTTAGATTTGCTGTATTACTGTTTTTCTCTTCATTATAAGAGATGGATTTCTAAATAGGGAAGAAGGGATGAACGTATTTAGGGGGAATAAGGTGAAACAAAAAGATATATCAAAAGAAATTTTTAACAAAACAAAAACTTCGCTGTAGTGATGGGACGAGAGGGAACATGAAAGGGAACTTGTTGGGGACTGGAGAACAGAAAGACAAATCAAAAAACTATCCTCTGCTCTCAAGGAACTTAGGGTCATAGCTCTAAATGTGAGGTTGTACCATCCAACCCCCTCACTTTACAATTGAGGAAATTAAGGCCCACTGAGATGAAATTACTTACCCAAGATCACACAGGTATTACATGTCAGAGCCAGGATTTGAAAACAGATTCTCTGAATGTACAGTACTGTTGTACTCTTTATACTGCCCATATTCTATTGGAGAGAGAACTGCAAGTAGTGTGAGGTAAAGAGGGTTTTGCACCAAGGTGCTCACATTCAAGAGGGCAAACTCCACTACACACACACACACACACACACACACACACAGAGCAACTGCCATCTCCATGTCTCGGTTTTTGAACCTCTTTTATTCCCTACCAAATGGCAACACAATCACCCACCTCCTGGTATCCCTAGGGTCCCACCGCTGCTATGTCCATCTTCCCCCAAAACTTTTTAAGGATGAGGGCCAACTGCCTCTTCTTCTAACATACATGTATGTATTGACAGTCAGACTATTCTCTGTAACATGCCCTCAATGATTTTTGCTCCAAGTGAAAAAAAAAATACTTCCTTAGGACTATGATGGGGGGAGGTGGGGGAAAGAAATCCAGCACATAAACCAACAAATGGATTAGATGATACATAGGAAGATAGATAGATAGATAGATAGATAGATAGATAGATAGATAGATAGATAGATAGATAGATAGATAGAT